TTCTTAAAATACGGCTGCTCCATTGCCGTTTCACGAGACGATGACACTATTCGGTCATGTTTCGCATCGAATTTTGCCCAAGTCGTTCGGAGTAGTTCTCTAGTCTCCACCGCGGTGGAGAGGTCCAAAGTAAGAACGTCTTTTGCATTTGCTGTAAGGCTCGCGACCGTGCCAGCTCGCGTCTCCTGCCGTGTTAGTCTCGCTGCCATGATGGGCTAGGATATGATGCGCTGTTGCTGGTCGAGACGATTATGCAGTAGTGGTACTGCCCCCACTACTCTAGAGATGAGGTGACGTACGCTTCACTCTCCGTGAGTGAGGAGATGACGAAGATTCCCGAGTGCTAGATGCCCGCGCCACCTAGATTHCTCCTAGCGAACTAGAGGCGTTAGGATTAAACGAGCACTCGACGCGGCACTTTCCCCCTCGGCTTTGAGAAGCCTTTGATATAACGATATGTCATGTTACACTTACAATTAATTCTAAGAATCCGGCTCGAAAGACCAAAAAATGTTCGAGGATAGAAGGAAATTGATAGATTTAAATAAGATGCTCTAAGAATGGACAAGGAGTGTGGCGAGATAGGCTAGTGGACTGTATAGATGAAAAATTTACTGGTAGAATTATGTGTAACAAAATTTAATTACCAAATTTTAACAAAAAGAAATAGAGATGGCGAGAGTATAATGGATTTTATACAAACAGTAATAGATCAGCGACGCTACGTGTACCGGATATCACGCAACGTTTACCGGAAGTACGTAGCACAAGAAGCCGTTAGGGAGAGAAAGTAAAAAGAGATGGACTAGATGAGGAAAAGCGTGATAAGAGTTGAGATGAAACAGTGAGAGAAAGAATAAGGAGATGGTCTAGTTGAGGAGAAAACGAGATGAGAGACTATAAGATGAATCACAAATTTTCAGAGATGGTTAAAGACACGTCAGCACTGTTTTACTTCGTAAGAGATTGTGCTGGACCACGCCACTTTTCGGTTTGATTAGAGGAACAGAGCGGAAGTGGAAAAAAGACAATTGACCAATGAGCGAGTTCCACGCTAGGAAGAGATGACAAACAATCAATAGGAAAGTAACACTCAGA